GGGGGGGGTTACCCAGAATGCCTCATGATTTCCCTGGGTAAATAAAGGCTCTGAAATATGTGAGAAAGGTTTCAGGCTTCTCAGGAGGAAAGTGTTTTGTTTGTGTTTCTTTCTTCGCTGAAGGTCATGGACGAACGCACACAAGGACAGGTCAAAGGTCAGGTCTGGTATGAATACACAACAGGAAAAAGGTGCAGGTTGTGATCTGGATGACGGCCATACATTTGTGTGAAGGTGGATTTTTAGATTTTTTTTTTCAAAACAGTTTACATTATTTATGTAAAATAATGTCAGGTGCTCCATGATTAATTTTTTCACACTATATATAACTAAACATTTATCCAGGTGCTCCATGATAAATTTTTTCACACCATAACTAAACATTTATCTATTTCATGGGTATATATGTGCAGCTCTGACCTAAATATAAAATATATCAGTGAGAAGAAAGGAGTGTAAAAAATGTGAAAAAACAAATTCAGATTTAACAAACGCTACTGTTTCAGTTGAAGTTCATAATGAAAAATGACAGAGTTTCGTTCCAAGCTAATTAAATTGGTAATCACTCTCAGATTTACAGAGGGCTGAGGGTGGCGTGAGGTGGAGGACCGTTGGACTGTGATTTATTTGGGTCGAAGATCGTTATCAGAGTGAAACAATGGGAAAGGAGGCTAGTGCTAGTGCTAGTGCTAGTGGAGGAGCAGAGGAGACAGATACAGGGAGAAGGAGGATCATATATAGAGGAACAACATGATAGGACACACAGGGGTTTTATTTTGTCTCCAGGGTCTGACGTCCGTGGACATGAGAGTCGAAGATAATAGGATTCAGGAGAGATGGTGCTTCTTAATAAAGCAGCAGAGCAGCGAGGGCGTGTCGTCCGGAGGAGCAATTCTGCCCTCTAGTGGAAGTCTAGGCAAACTACTTCAACTGACATATATACTGTATATATGTGTGTATTCCATTGTAATACATATTTATATATTTCCCCAGGTATCATGATGATGGGTTTGTTTTTTGCTCATCGTTTCTTTTCACCAGGCCATTCTTATTCTCATCTTCGTCCAATCATGAGCTGTTGTTGTTCTGACGACAGAGGAGCAGTAGAGGGGGAGACGTGGAGGTTTGATTAACTCTAAGTACACGGGGGAGTTTGTGGTGTCTGAGGTGATGGAGGTCCCCAATTATTTCCTCGGCTTGGTGTAGGAGAGGAGGTCGTGACCCACGTCCTTCTCAGCAGAGTCGGTGATGTGTAGCAGTCTGCCATTGGCCCAGACTGATGCAACTGAGCCTGGCATTTGTGGAGGGAAAATGAAGTGAAATGAAGTGAGTTCTAACTGTCAGTGACTGTGCAGTGATTGACAGCTGACAGCTTGTACTGAGCCTCTGCTGTAGATTCTGTAGCAGGGTTTATAAAGACGTCCAGGGAGGGGGTTCATTTAGGTTCAGATAAATGTGATACGCAGTTCAGAAGTCAAGCAATAAACTGGCTTTTTACCAATGGTTTGTGCAGTGTAGGTTCATCATGTGACCTGTTACTGTCTGTTAGGCTGGTTATCTCTTTTTGGTTCTTAGATTTTTTACAGTGTATGAATCAGAAAAAAGACTCACATTTGTGTTTACTGGCTTAAAAAATATATTATAACTTATATGTTATATATATATATTAAAACCATAGTTATGAATTTACATATTAAAGGGTTAAAATCTAGTGCTTCTCAATGTGTGGGACGGGCTCCATTGGTGGGGAACAGAGTTTAAAAGTTGAGGGAAATAATATGATTTTTTAAAGGATATTTAACTTTTATATTTATTATTGTTTATTTATTTTAAAGCGTGACTTTGTTGTTGTAGCTGTGACATCGTTTCTGTTGTCGTTACTCCTCACACTAACATCGATAATGTTACTAATAGTACTGCGTCACTGCACCTGTGGCCGGTACGGCTGCTCTGACGCACCTGACCGGAAGTTGGGCCCTGCGGTGGATTAGAACAGTGTGTGTGTAAATGTTAGGAGTGGGAGTTTAACGCGTTAATTTCGAGAACTAAATCACAGAGTTGGTCAGTTCGTTAAAAACATAACCAACCGGATCGGAATGTTAAAAAAAAGTACCGATAACACCGCTGCACCTGATGTGTTGAGCCAAAACAGGCTTCGTGTTAGCAGCAGTTTCCAGCTGCTAGCATTAGCTGCTAACACTAGTCAACATGGACGCCGGAGCTTCCGCCATTCCCTCCTAACAAGAGCCAACAAAGTCGGCAGTCTTCACTGGACGACGGGTGGACATTCTTCAGAGACAAATGAGTAAGTCTTACATGTCCACGTCAGATGAACGAACTCACTGACGGAGTCTCATTGGTCTGTCGAGCACTTTGACTGGTAGAAATGAACAGGTAGAATCAACTGACCCAATGAATGAACTGTCATGAACGGCCACAGATATTTTAGTTACCATTTTGCCTGTTGCACTTGAGTGAGTACTGTTTTATTTAATGATTTAATTGACTGTTTTCTATTAGTTTAAAAGTCCAAAACTTCATTTTGTGAACCACTTGCTCCAACAGTACAGTTTTGTTTATATTTGTTGTAAAGTTGTAAACTTCACGAGGGAAGCTTCAAACTTGTCTTTCTTATGAAATACACAATTGTTGAGTTCGGTTTATTCATCAGTTAGTCAAAGTGAACATGTTTTAAACACCCATCAATCCTTTTATTTTATTTTCTTATTAGCTCCAGCGTTAGATAGATGAAATGTCATAATACTGCCCTCTGCTGCATGAAACAGGCAAACACAGCATTCTTTTTTTTTCTAAGGAAAGGCTTAATAATAGTAGAGTGTGTGTGTGTGTAAAGTGATAAAGTTTGGTAGATTTTACCTGTGAATCACAGGCTGTGAACAGATTAATTCTTCTGTACAGAAACTGATCTGCAGAGGGAAAATCCCTGTCTCTGTGGGATTCTTTGAATTATTCTAAGGTTGTCAGACAAATAGATTTTTCAGTCATCTTCTTTTGTACAGCTTGCCTTGTTAAGGTTTACAGTGACATCAGTCATTCAGTGGGATCAGCTTTTCTACTGCATCACAAAGGAACCCTGATTTTAAATGATTCTGATTAAAGAGCACAGAGCTGCAGTGTCCTGGTCATCTGCTCTGCTCTGCTCTGCTCTGCTCCGGTCAAACGTGTGGCCTGTAAATGAAACTTCAGGCAAAATAAAACGCTGCGCCTCAGCAGTTTTGTATCATGAATCGTTTATTGAGTCTGAGTTTGACTTTGTCTGCCGTGAAGAAATAGAACTGGACAAAAATAGTTTCTGAGGAGTACCACAGATTTTGTTTGATGCTCAGGATTTTATTTTCAAGAACCTTTAATATGGAGGACAGAAAGTACAGAGAACAGGCCTCAACACTGCACGGACGGACAGCTGTGGTGTAGATTTTATTTTAAAAAATGAAAAAGCTAAGTAAAGAAATATAATCAAGACGTTGCAGCCACAAGAAAGGAGAGAAAAGAAACAGTGACAGCGCCTCCACAGTTAGGACAGCATACGGTCTGGTCCCTCGCACGTGACCTTTGGCCTCTGAAAGAGCTGTCAGTAAAGCGTATTCCGTTTTAAGATGTATGGCCTCCGGGATTTGGTGCTGTGCACCGCTTGTCTCTTCAGGATGTAGGGTGATTTTCGCTTGAGTGGAATGTCACTGTTCTCCTCCAGGTATTCTGCAGAGTCGGGAAGTAGCTGTTAGAGGAGACAGAGAGGAAACGAGAGGGGAGCAGATGAGTGTCACATGACCAAGACCGAGACAGCGACACGTACTGTACGGCAGAGTAACAGGACGCTGGGATTGAGCGCTGATCTGAGGCCACCGTGAGAGGATTGGAGAGAATGTAAAGGAAAAGGACGGAGGCTGAGGAGGAGAACTAATGAGGAGTGTTAGGAGGATGGAGGTGTGTGTGTGTCTGTGCATGTGTCTGTGTGTGTGCGTGCTGTCTCACCCTCTCCTCTCGGCTCTGCAGCGCTCTGCAGATGTGTCGCAGGCTGGACAGTTCCTCCATCAGCTGCAGGTTCTCCTCCTGCTCCTCACCACTCCACGTTTCCTGCCTCAGCCCACTCATCATCCTGCACAGGTTTGACAGCGACACACGCCTGTAGGGGGCGTTGTGCTTATTCTGTGTCGTCTGCAAAGAAAGCAAAGTGAAACAGAGGTGGAGTTTAGTCGGTGTATCTTCAACAAAAAAACAGATTTTAGTCCAGAAGCACAGGAAGACGTTTGACTTTGATCGGTTAACGTTAGGCTGGAGCACAGACCAAATTATTCAGCCGTTCTCTGCTGGAGTCCAATCCAACACTAACATGGACAGCAGTGCTGCTGAAGACAAAAGAGGACGTGTGTGTGTGTGTGCGTGCGTGTGTGTGTGTGTGTGTGTCATCTCTTTACCATTCTTTAACACCAGACGCACTCAGTGATATTTATTTCACACCTAACCTCATCAGCTCAGTCCTAATCTACTTTGAGGTCTATGAGTTGGAGACCACACACACACACACACACACACAGAGACCAGTAGACGGAGGCGGTCGGAGGCGGTCGTAGCTCATATGTTGTGATGCTGAGCGGCTGCTGGTGCTCTCAGACACCTGCATCATTCATGAGATAAAGAGCGTTCCCTGTGGAAGGTGTTGGAGCAGGAGACGTGCAGGTTGTGGGTTCTTTGTGGTTCACGTTCAGTGACATCACCAGGGAACAAACGTCCGCAGCTCCTGACATTTAACAAATCATTTGTGCATTGATGAGTTTAATTAGCTTTAAATGAACCAATTTATGCGAAGAATGTGTTTTTCTTACATGTTGTTGCTTCGTTTGCAGGAGCTGCTTTTGTACACGAGCCATATGTTTGTTGTTGATTTCAAAACCTTATTGTGACAGAAAGTGTTTTGAGGCCAAATGTTAATTTAACCGTGATGGTGTTTATTTAGGGTCTGTCATTTACATGAGCTTTTATTAATGAATTATTGGTATGATTGTTGTGATTATTCAGTCAACACTCATTTCTAGCACATTTTTACACTAATCTGCACAAACCAGCCCAGCAGGTGGTGCTAACATGCCTAAGATTACCTTGCCAACTGTAAAAAAATAAATGTACAAGTGACATCAGTGCAAACGTTTTGTTGACCGTTGACTAGTTTTATATACAAATAATGTAGCACAGAAGCTAGAACTTAAATTTGAAATATCTGTTCAAATCAATTGAAATCAAACTTTTTGCCATGAGACTGTTAAAAATCAACATTAAAAAAAGGAATTCATGAATTAACAAAGGTGTTTCTCTTCAAACTTTCTGATCAATTTATAATTTCATTCGTCCTTCAGAACAAAACCACAAAAGTAAAACTTGCGTGGATGAGATTCTGCCCAGTATTCTGTGTAATTATCGTTTATTATAAGTTAAAGAAAACCTTTGAGAAGTCTGAATCATTAATGAGCAGCTGTCCACCTGGAGGTGGTCATGTGTACTACACCTATATGAAAGGACGTTTTCTTTCTTTCTCTGGGGAAAACAAGTAATAAGAGTCGAAACGAAAACCTCACCAGGGACCGACACTGACACTGACACTGACACAGACACTGACGCAGACACTGACATTTAAACACCGTCTCTGCATTGATGAGTGTAATTGGGTTTAAATGAACTAAGAGACGTGAAGGAAACGCTGGAGTTTACTCCTCTGATCTCATGGATCCTCATCAGCTGCAGGGCGAGGTCACATGACTGGGTCTGACACAGCCTCAGGTCTGTGTTCAATTGTAATTGATTACTGATGAGGAGGGACTGGTCCGGTCCCCCCGTCCCCTCGGCTGGTTCTGTCTTTAACGCCTTTTTCTTTACCGCCCCCAGATTTTAATCGTCACGACTTTTTATCCTCCATATTTTTTTTCTCAAGATCTAACTAACAACTCTAATATGAATATGTACGAATGCCCTGTTTAATTATTAATGTCCATGTGATTAAACATAGAACAGTCAGTGCAGTAAATATAGAATATACAGTATGTTTTTGTTGTCATTTGTTTTTATTTGCAAATTTTTGTCTGTTACTTTTTCCCCTTTTCTTTTTTTCTTTTTTTTCATTTAAAACGGTATTCACCTTTATTTTCTAGTTGTGACATTTTGACCTCTGACCTTTTTGTTCAACTGCATGTGAAGATTCAGTGGTGGGCTGATCGATAAAATCAAATCTAATCTAATTTACTCCAAATTGAGAAGATGTCACGATTGTTTAATAATTCAGTTAAAATTCCAGTTAATCATTTTCAAACTGTGGTGTAGGTTAAAGGTCGTTCTGCTCTTCATGTCTGATGACAATGATGTCAAATAAAGACAAGACATAATGAAAGAAATAAAAAAACCTCTTACCATAGAATTAAGGAAACTGTTGAACAGCTCTTCTTCTATCGCTCGCTGCTCAGGGTCCACATCTGTGGCTCGGAGGAAAAACAACATCAGTGATGGGTTTTATTTGACTCACGTTGAATGAGAAACTTGTAAATGATTTCTTATCATTATTATTTTATGAACTATTTTTTCTCTGCTTTCTTTGAAGGATCACAATCATTTTTTATTTTTGATGAATTTCCTATAAATAAAGTGGCAGGAAACCAACATTGAACTGAAGGGTCACTGCTCTGACTTTTATGGGTTTAATGTTTTAATGTTCAAAATCAGAAGTGAAGAATCTCAGTCGATGGATCCGTGGATCCGTTCGATGCTGATTCTGTTCTGTTTGTTATCGTCAACCAGACCAGAGATGTTGTCACTATATTATACACACACATATATCATGGGTTCACTGTAAAGAATGCAGTGAAATACACAAATGTCAACAGTTTGTTTGTTACTTTCAGACTGATGCACCTGCTGCACAGGACGAGGTGAAAGAGTTCTCTGACTCTTCAGCCGTGACCGTGACCTGGACGTGTGACTGAGAACCTGGTGAGAGTTCTTCTTCCCTCAAAACTGTGGATTTATATAAAAAAGTATATAATAATAAGAAGAAGAAAAACGGTCTTTACCTGCACAAAGTCCACAGCAGGTCAAGAAGAGGAGAAGCACACACGCCAGCTGTGCCTGCATGATGATGATGATGATGATGATGACGACGACGACGACGACGAGAGGAGACGAGCAAAGAAACACTAACTGAAGATTCACACGGTCCCACGGTGAAGCCTTCAGCTGAAGAGAGACTAGTCCACAAGGTGAGGCTGAAGATGATGAAGATAGAGGGTGTCTGATGCTGAGTCTTCTTGGTCTTGGTCTTGGTCTTTTCTTTCTTCTCTCCCAGCTCACTCCAGCGTTTCTTCTTCCTTCCCTTCAGTTGCGTTTCTTGCTTCGATGCTCAGTGAAGTGGGCTCACCTTATAAGAGGCCTGTGATGTCACAGGAGCAGCATCACACCTCCACCCCCACCTGCTGCTCCTCACCCCANCCCCCACCCCCACCCCCTGCCTCTCCTGCCTCTCCTGCCTCTCCTGCTACAGTGTCCTCGTTTCGTTAGACGTCATTTTAGCATCACCGAGGTTTTTGCGTCATTTGGTTTTTCTTTCTTTTTCTTTTTTTTACCTAAAGAAATTTGACCCTCGTCTCCTTAATATATAAAACGTCAGGTTTTATTTTTTATGGGCGTCAACGTCAGTGGCAAAATTTTTAATGTCCTGTTGGAAAAACACATTAGTCGGCATTTATTTGTCTAAAATCTGAGTTCAAATCAAAGATGTTTTATTGGTTTGATTAAAGTCATTAAACAAACTATGATAAGAGTTCACTCTGTTGGACAGTAACGAAGAAGATCATTTTCCACAGAAGCTTCGGCCTCCTACGATTTTGAACTTTGTCTCCAGCTGAAGAAATAAAAAACCCTCCATCTTTCATGTACAGAAGACTTCAAGTGTTGAATTAAAGGTGGAAAATCAGAAGCCAAACACTTGTGTGATGACACTGTGATGCCGTCACACTCTTTGTTAACACTGAAGAGCTGAGAAACGTCATGACTCACAGACTGAGGTTTTATTTACAGCCACTTCTTCAACAATCAACGTTTAAAAAGCGTTTTATACAAACCACTCTTTTTGTATTTTTTATGAAAGTGAATTTCTTGTCATTGTCACACATTACACCACTGGACACAACGACCAAAATGACCTTTGACCCATCACCAAAGTGAGCAGGTGGCAGCTGAGGCCCCGGGGAGCAGTGTGTGGAGACGGTCCCTTAAAGAAATATAGATCGAGTTCATATATTTGGTCAGGAAATATATGGTGAAATTAAACGAGATAAAATGACAGAGAAACAGATGAAAATAATGATTTAAAGTTTGGTCTTTGATGTCATTTCTTTTTTAAATTGATTTCATAGAAGATTGAAACCATTTTTTGGCCATTTCTATAAATCAAATAGTCATTCTCTAAATGATACGGTGCCTTATTGTGTGTATATGTTTGTGTATAAGTGTTTGTGCTGAATGTGTGTGGATTTGGAAGTCATCCTAATTATGAAAAAAAAAAACCTCCAAAAACGTAGGTGAAAATGACAAAAGTTTTTTGTTTGTTTGTTTGTTTGTTGTTGATGCAGTGAAGTGTCTTCCTGCTGCCTGGACATCTCTGGACAACTCTGGACAACTCTGGACAACTCTGGACAACTCTGGACAACTCTGGACAACTCTGGACAACTCTGGACAACTCTGGACAACTCTGGACAACTCTGGACAACTCTGGACAACTCTGGACAACTCTGGACAACTCTGGACAACTCTGGACAACTCTGGACAACTCTGGACAACTGTCACTGTATATATTAGCCAAAGGCCAGTGGCTCCTCTGGACCGAGTCACATGTACCGACGTGCACATGTGACCCAACATGATTCAGTCAACATTTATTCAGCCAACAGAGAGGAGAGAGAGGAGAGAGAGGAGAGAGAGTCTCCAGTTACAGGACGCAGAGGTGAGAGCTTTTCTTTACCCCGTGATCCAACAGTTCTGCTGCTGATGATCTGGTCCAACACCGTCCTGTTGTCAGTCACCTTGTTGATATATGTTGATGAACAAACAAGTGTCACGACAACTTTGACTCATTTAGTTTATAAATAAGTGACTATATATTCTTTTGAAATCTTGGGAAATTTAAATACATATATATATATATATACAAAAGCCCCGACAAAAAAGGTTACCGTACCGTTTTTGGGTCACGAGCCACCATTTGGAAAACAACTTATACTATACCTCACAAACTGTTTATTATTGTTGTTGTTGCTTTTATCATTATTATCAGTATTAATAATAATATTGGATTGAGTTGATTTAAATATGTCGGTGGAGGGGGGCAGAGTTTCACCAGTTACAATCCTCTGTGTGCGTGCGTGTTTCCGTGCGCGCGCGCGCGTGTGAAACACCTCCTCCTGTGTGTGGGAATGGGGCGGCGGACGGAGTTGTAGTCGGGACGGGACTAACTTTTCCCAAACGCCGCTCAGTGCGCGACTCTCCTCCTGCCATGAGCGGACACTTCAGTGTCTCCGGGTAGTTTGACCGTCGCTCCAGAATCATGGCTCCGTTTGGAAAGAACTTCCTGAAAGCTCGACTGAAGAACAGGTACTTTGATGAATATGAATATTCTAGATTATTCTGATCGATGGACGTCGGCGTGCGTCGTCGGTTGGAGTTCGGTCTCTGCGGCCGCGGCTGCGGCGGAGACAGACGTGATTTACGCACAGCGTCCGGTGCTCGGTGTGTTATAGTTATTTATGGTTGTGTTGATTGGCCGCAGTGTTCAGACGGTGGATGTGGTTTTCATTGATATTATGAACTGTTTCAAACGGGTTTCCAACGCGGGAGGTCGGATCTGATCGATTACATTGATAGAAGGACGTATGCTGTTTTTTGGATAAATGATAACGTCTATAATTACAGTGCGTTGGAAAGTATTGTTTCTAAAATCTACTTTTTTTTACAAAGAAAGAAAAACCAACAAAAAAAGCCTCCATTCTGGTCGAAAATGTAAACAAAAAGGGTCAACTTTTGTTGTTTAAGTTTTTCGTGCATATATATATTTAGTATATGCGTTTACTGTATGTATTTGTTTTATGTATATATTTAAAATTGTTAAAACAAGTTAAAAATCCAACAACAGTTGATACTTTGCTACATTGCTTAGCTTTATCTTAGCTAAAATCAATGCTAATTCAACTAAAAGTTTGAAGAGAAATGCCTCAAAGTTGGATAAAATTCTAGAGAAATGGCTGATAGTTGTTCAGAAATGACCAAATAATCAGACCACTAGTCCACTAGACCACTAACTAATGACCACTAACTAATGACAACTAAAAGACAACACTTACAGCAAGTAAAGGTTAAACCTAGGATAATATGAACTAAAAGATGTATAAAAGTCGGCATAGACGTAGTGAAACGTTAGCAGAAAGCTAACAATATACTAGAGCATAACTACTGGTTCATCTTAGTTATTAAAAGTGAGCCGTTAGCGAAAAAGCTAGCTCAATGATTGTTTGCGAAAGGTTCCCCAAAAGTGTTTATTTATTGTTTAAATTTCAGTACAACGTTTGAGGTGTGGAATAAATCTTCTACACCTCTGGACTTTACCAGCTTCTCTAGTAGCAACATAAGGAATTATGGGTAATGCATTACACCTTGGGATGTGCTGCTAACCTGAAGCTCTGATGCTGCTGGTGGTCGTGTTGTGGTTGTAGACGTGAAACAGTGTGATGTTGTCGTTGTTGTTTGTCAGCATCTCATTTTGGGGCCGAATCTGTTTGCTTTTATTTTTGTGTTGTAAACATTTTAAAAGGAGTTGTTTCATCCAAATATCTCCATCTTTAGCGTAGCATGTTAGCTGTGCCTCAGTTTAGGGCCGACGCCAGCCTCGACTTTGACATCATACTGAATGTTATCTGTTGTTATCTGTGTCTGAAGAGATTTGACTGAAGTTGTTGTCTGCAGACTTGATTAATAAGGTCATAAACTAGTCTTTAAGACGGAGCAGGACTCACAGTGACGCCAGGAGCAGATCACACGGCTCTTAAATGTGTTTTATATATTTATATATATATATATATAAATATATTAAAACAGTCCCGTCACCCAGCAGACTGTGGAGAAGAGCTTTGATTCAGCACAGGTTCAATCATTGCCACTCAATAAAAGTGGCACCAACAGGATGATGAATGTATCTTTTGGTTTGGATGAAATACTCTTGGGTACTTCAAAGAGTCTCCAGAGAACAGGGTCTTTTCTTTTCTCCATGTTGTGTCATAATTACCGTTTCACCACCTATAATTACTTCAAGTGTTTAGATCTGTAGATGTCGAACTCCTGATTGAAGCGACCGCCTTCAGGTGATGCTGAGCCGTTCTGTAGAGTGAGAACCATGTGGAGAAGATGTCAGTGTCCCAGAATGAGGTCCGTTTTCTTAGACTAACAGTGTTACAGTGTAACAGTTTGTTTGTTTGTGATGTTCTTGTGAAATGAGAATCATTAGCTCAAAGGCAATGATGCATTTTGTTTAATTTTTTTAGAAAACTTAAGCTTTTGGAAACTTAAGAAGCCAAAGAGTCCAAGGAAAATGTAAAGCCTTGTGTTTCACATGTTAAAAAAACTCTTTCAAATAATTGGCTAAAAAAGCAAGAATCCTCCTAAAGTGTAGCCTAAAGCTAATCTTAGCTTTGACTTTAGTATCTGGTGACATCAGCAGGGTTGGTGTGTGTGTGTGTGTGTGTGTGTGTGTAGAAAACAACATGGGTGGATGGTTTAACAGAGGAAGTGAAGGTGGAGCCTCTGCTCACAGATGCCTGTCGGAGGAGTCATCAGCGTAGAGATTAACAAATCCAGGAGGAAAGTGATGTTATTTCCTCTCCCAGATAAGAGCAGAGGAAACGTCCTTGTAGTCTCTTCTCCACGCTCGACTTGTTTTGCCTGCATGTTACAAAGCCAAAAATATTACCTAAAATAGTTGTTCACCTACTCACTTTTACCAGCTGTAGGAATTTGAAGAAAAAAAACTAAGAAGTTGAAAGAAATATTCCAGGTTAATAAGAGTTTCCTGGTGTTTTGACATGTTGGAGGTTTTTATGATGCAGTTTTCACCTTTGGTTTGTGGTTGTAGCAACAACGTGGAGGAAACGTTTTCAGTCAAAGATTAACATTTATTACACTGGAGACATTTGAAGTCAGGATCATGTTTTTTTTTTTTACAATCTTACCTTTTCGTTGTGAAAGTGAGGTGAAAGTAGAGGCTGGAGTGAAATGAAAAACAGTTTAAAAAAAAGTAATCAAATCTAATTTCACTTGTCAAGTGATTTGTTCTCTTTTTTTAAATTGGAAAACCAAAGCTATAATTAAAGTAAACAGGATATTATTTATATTTTCATTCCATAGAGGGAAAATAAGGAGCTGTTGACAGCTGAGGCTACAGGATATATTTATCCAGGCTTTGTTTCTGCTGGAAACATCTGCACCGCCTCATCAGACCAATATGAATGTGAAGACACAGACACAGGCACAGACACAGGCACAGACACAGGCAGAGGCAGTGGAGAGCTGTAATTTGTTATGACTTGTATGAAACAGCAGCTCATAGTCCTCTGCGCTAACCTGTACAATTCAAATTGATGACACAAGGGGGAACCGTTAACGTCTTCAGGGTCATTACTATGGCAGTCAGGATGGAAGTTAGCCACGCCGCCGCGCTGGAAATGACAGAGCAGGAACTGTTGGTTGCTAAAAGTCGGATCATTTAAATACAGTTTCCTCTGTCGTGTCTCAGAGGTCACGGCTGGGGTCACGGCTGGGGTCAAGCCGAGGTCAGGCAGGTTAGAGATGTAGAAGTTTAACTCGGTGTTAAGTTTGGGACTTTCCAGTGACAACGGTGCAGCGTTCATCATTATCCAAAGCTGTGACCTTCTGCATGAGGGCGCCCTCATTCTGCACCACTGACACTGCAGGTTTGTTGCTAGCTCGGTGGATCAAATTGCACCAAAAGCCACAGCCCACATGGAAGTGACTATAGGCTGAGATTCAATCGGCCGCAGAACTGCCTGCTGTGCAGTCAGGCGTCAGCATTTTTGACTTGTGGCCATAAAAGGAACTGATGTGAACACTTGACGTTCCATCCATACCTGAACATGTATAGGTAGTTATTATGGCCTGGTGTTGAATAGAGAACATGTTGGGGCTGCAGTATCAAGGAAGTGCAGTTCTGTACCTGCAGCGGTTGTTGTCGCTGCTGCCTTTAGCAGACGTCACACACCTGGACTCCAGGGGTTTTGCAGACTACATTATGTTATTTCAACGGCTGCACATTTTGATGTTGATAATGTGATGTGAACGATTCAGTCAGTTTTACTCTTTACTCTATGGTTGTTTTTATTGATGTTTCAAACAACTTTCCATTCACGTGAATTCACACAAACACGATTCTTTCTGTCACGTTCATGCCACACCTGTAGCGTGTACTTGGACTTTACGATGGAAATAATTTTTTAGGAATGTTTCGCAACTTGTTTTGTGTCATTTTTGACACACTGAACATTTTTTTGCCGTTCGACGTCCAGGTTACACCTGCACTGGACGGTGATTGATTAGTTTTAACATCATTGGAATAGTTAACGTTTTAGAACCTTTGTACTTCAAAGACATGGTTTGAGTCTGTTATTTTTAGGTGATGTTTTTGAAAACAAAAACTGAAAACAAAATGAGTTACTAGAAAGACCTGAATTGTTATATGTTAAAGGTTCTACACCAACTGCTGCTCTATTTTCTTTCCCATTGTCGTAAATTGCAATGAACCTTTAAATAGATGTTCCAGAAACATTAAAGGTCACATTCCAACGTGTGGGATCCACACACAGCCCCTCATTTGTCAACACCCTGGTCAGATTGACGTAGACGCTGAGCGCAGCTCTTACTGGTCCGTCCTCAGAGACAGGATGTGGTGTGAACACTGGTGATATTTGGACTGGGACAGACGCAGGTGTTTCCCAGCTCGGCCGTTCGCTCTTCCTGTGCAGCTGAGGGCTGAGGTCGCCCTCTCTGAAATAACCGATTGTCTAGAGTGCGTGTTTATTCACCTGCCTGTGCAGATATGAACACAAACACCATTCTCATGTGCAGGGCTGGATTGTTGATGTAGCAGAGCCGTAACTGGGTTGACAGTTCAAATGTGTTGCTGAGGGCCAGCAGTCGGTGCATGTTGTTGAGAAAATGAGGAAAAGTCTGGAAGGTTTTGCATTTGTTTGTTTAGAAGTACATTGTGTTGACAGTAATTATTATCATTTTGATTAACGTTGTTTGTCGTGAGTAGAAACATAACAGGATGTTGTGGTCCAGGCTGAATGAGTTTGGTTTGGAGCTCAGGTACGATGACAAACACTGAACCCTCGTCTGTGTGCAATGGACTGTGGATAAGAAGGTCAGTCTGTGATGAGATGTTGGACAGTTTGAATATTTTAATTTATTTTGTCCACTGAGCGTCTCCTCAGATCACGTGGAATCGGACAGTTTCACAGATGTAGATCTGTTTCCTGTGAAAACGTTGTTCTGTAAATGCAGTAAAAAGACAATCGTACGGAGTTACGTCGACTTTTCTTCCTTCTGTTCTTGCCGGTACAGCCGTGGAATTCTGTTTAGAAAGTTGTGAGGTCAAAGTCGCCGCATGTCGTTGGATATGGTCGACTTTTTTGCACAGTTTGGGCTTCAGCGTTGCTGTGTTTGTCAGTGAGCGTCTCCATAACCATTAACCAGCCTCTGGTCCATTGTTGCACAGGTATCACATTCACCAGCACTTTACACAGGCCTGCCTCTGTGTGTGTGTGTGTGTGTGTGTGTGTGTGTGTGTGTGTGTGTGTTTCAGGCCATGTGGGAACCAAAAAAAAGGTGTTTATTAAGAAATAGTGAATGAGCTAAAGTAGATCATACAAGGTGACATACTGTGGTTCATTAGGTAATGAGAGGAAGGAGAGCTGAAAACCAAAGGAACATAAGGAACATGGAGGTCATGGAGGTCATGGAGGTCATGGAGGTCATGGTTCTTCAGGTTCTTGACTCTGTTATTGTTTATAATAAGAGATGAAATCACTGTAGCGTGAAACGTGTGCATGTTCCTGAGCCGGACTTTGAACACCTACAGCTGCTCCTCAGTATCTGTGGAGTGAGTGCTGCAGTAACAGTGTTATCTTCTCCTCACAGCAGCTAAGGGTCAAAGGTCAGATATGACAAGAAAACCTGAGAATCAGAGTCGCGTGTTTTCCTGTAAATACTGTAGTTTTGTTCTGTTTGATGTTTTTGACCCACGAAATCAGTGATCTTTGTCCGCTTAGTTAAAGATACTAGTTAGTACGAGTTTAGTTTGTAAGAAAAAAATATACAACCTGAAATATATCACAATATAATAACCTTTATGGTTTAAATGCTAAAGTAATAAAAGTTCTGAAACAGAGTTCCAAACTGTTCCCTTGTCACTGGCCCAATAGAGGGCAGTAATGAGCTTAAAGTTTGTTTGTTTGTTGGAGCCTGAAGGAGGCCATAGACGTTGATAGAAGATAAGACAACGCTGTGTGTTTATTGCATCGTTTTTTTATTTACTTTGGCAGCGATTTTGATAAAAGCAGAGTTGTTTACAAACGTTTTCTTATCACGGCAGCCGCGCCCGCGCTGTCAGATGTTAGCGATTTTCATGTTTACATTTATATCTGTTCATTGAATTCTCTGTCAACTAACATAAATTTGAATCGTACAAATTGCTGTTGAATACTGCCTTATTAAATCTCCACATATATCTGTTGCTATCTTTAGTTTTTGTAGCGTAGCCTCCACCGGTTCATCTTGGTGTTAGCTGTTGCGAACTGACTTCAGTTTTGGTTTTTATTAGTGCTGTTCAGTCGGATCATAGGAAGTCATCCTTAGACTTAAGGAACGGGTCGATCAGGAAACGTCCTTATATGTTGTGGTTCATATTTGTAATCGCCTGATTGGTCATGGTTTATCATCAAATTAAAATGAGACGTTGGGCACTGCTATCGTCTGATTGGATTACAGCTCCTTGTTGTGGATGTCTGCTCTGCCAGTGCCTTCCATTTGATGATGGGATATTACCGGTGCTCCATTAGAGGCACATCAAAAAATTATTACTGTCTGCCAATCAGAGGTCGGATTTGGAAGGTTCAGACAAAAGGGTAATGGGGAGGTTGATGTGAAATATCCAAATCCAGAAGTAATAAATGATCATTTCTACGTGATGTTGACTAATAGAATCAAAGAAATGGGTGAACGTCGGTAACTGCTCATCGTCCCCATGGAAAACCATCAAAGTGGAACGTCTTTAAGGACAAATGTTACATACAAGGGGGAGATACTGAGAAGGTTGAATTACTAAACCTTTTTCCATGTGGTCAATGGTAATATATTTACGAACATTTATTCTGTATAACGCTTTCTTTGGTCTTTGTTTTGTTCTTCCTGTATCACTTGTAGGTCAAAAGAGGTCGAGCCTGCGATCGGAAAAGAGATCCAGGTCACTGTCTGCGACGAGGAAAAAGTCGTCTGTGGAGTCACCAAGCACACCACGTGTGTAGATATGATCCAGGCATTACTAGAGGATCACAGATCAGTGCCGGAGAGTCAGAGGCACCTTCAGGGAGAACCCAAAGACTTCTGTCTGGTGGAGCGTTGGAAGGGCTTTGAGAGAGCGCTGCCTCCTCTCACCAGGATCCTGAGACTCTGGTACGCCTGGGGCGACCAGAGTCCCTTCATCCAGTTTATTCTGGTCAAAACGAGCGATTTTGTTCCACAGCCAACCAAGAAGGCTACGAGGTCTAAAGGAGCCAGACCGAAACGCTTGGAGCAAGGTCGTGCGGCTCAGTACGCCCAGTCTCTGCCTGCGGAAAAGCAGAAACGCATGGTGAAGAAAGCTTTCAGGAAGCTGGAGAAGCTTCATAACGAGAGCAAGAGCTCCCCTGGTGCTGAGGAGGTTCAGCGGATGGTGCAACTGATCCTGGACCAGGACCACACCATTCGGGAGCAGATCCAGCGCATGAGGGAGCTGGATGTGGGGATGGAACGGTTTAAGCTGGAGGCACAAAGAGAAGCTTCCTGTGGAGGACAGGAAGTGGAACCGAGCGAGGATCAGCTGCAGCGGTACCTGTACACCAGGGACGGAGTTGAACACCTGGAGCTGCAGTTCCAGCAGCACCAGGAGCTCATCCTTCAGCTTTCCAGGGACATAGACACAGAACTGAGGCGGGCCGCCTTCCCACTGGAGCATGATGAGGAGGAGGAAGAACAGGAAGGAGCAGCATGTTCTTCCTGGACCTCCTCCAACACAGAGCACAGGATTTATTCTGCTGAACTGGAGAGGCTGCAGGAGGAGCTGAAGTGCAGCCTGTTTGACGGTGTGTCTCTGCACAACCAGGCTGCAGAGATGGACAAGCAGCTCAAGTACTTTGACAGTACACTGGTCTCCAAGGACCAGGAGTGTTGGCAGCTGGCTGCACAGCTGAGCTCACTGCAGATCGGGGAGATGACAGAGGACGAGTCCGGTCCTCCGCCTCTGGAACACCAGACTCAGGGCTGCGTCTCGCAGCAGCAGACAGTCAAACTCAAACACAGTCTGTCCCCGCTAGACATCGCAGACACAGACTCAGACACTGGGATTAGTTCAACACACAGTCAGGACTCCCTGTCCCCGTGTCTGGACTCCCCCCCCCCACTGGACACAGACGTCTGAACAGGAACCTGCCACTTTAGGCCCTGTTGTTGTTATCGTCACTGAGCGCAGGATTACCACCTGTTAAACATATCAACACGTAAGGACCAGGCAAACACGTATGAAATATGAAAATATTTATTATTGTTTCACACAATAACAGCACTGTGTTCTCTACAGTGACATGTAAAAAAAAAAAGTAGTTTAATCCTCAGCACTGATGTAATGCCACATAGAAAAGCACAAACTTTAGCATCGTTGTTAGCATCGGTGTTAGCATCGTTGTTAGCATCGTTGTTAGCAAAACATAATGTAACGTCACACATCGTTTTAGATCATTATCAATGACTTTCATCAAACGTCTCTTTAACGCAGCTGCACTGCACACAAATAACTTGTTTTATATTAAAACACAAACTTCACTTCAGCACAATATTACAGCAATACGTTCCTGCAAAGGTAAATATTTTATAAGACATTTTGATAAAAGGAGCTATTATTTATTTATAACGTATGTATAAAATGTGTTCTTTAATGTTAATGTTTTTGCCTTGCAGTTAAAAAAATCACAGCAGGTTTTAGGAGAAAATATTGACATTTTAACCATAATTAAAACCAATCTTTGTTATATTTAGTATCTTTATGATTAATCAATCTTGAAATCACAAGTTATGATGAAGTAGAATGTAAACTTTGACAATTCTTTCAATAAATTCTCTTCTGCAAGTGTCAAATGATGGCTGCGCTTCAGTGTGTCGCAATAATAATAATAATAATAATAATAATCAGACAGAGAGACAAACCAGCTGTGGTTCATCTGTGATCAGCTGTTCTAAAGTGTCAGTCACTGAAGCTCAGGAGGAGAAAGTTCACTTTAAAACTGGAGAGAAGCTGCCTCAGAGTCATGTGACCGGGGACCATGTGACCAGGGACCATGTGACCGGGGACCATGTGACCAGGCACAGAACAACAGGCAGCTCCTCTCCTCGTCTAGCTGCTGCTGACAGACTAAGACTAAGGAAGGAGCAGAGGAAACAGTATCTATTTCACACACTAATCGTCCGTCCCCCCACCTCAGAGCCACTGTGTGACTGACACTGTGACTGACTGATGTTCTGGTGCCGCTCACCTGTTGTCTTGCAGCAGACGTGCTCTGAGCTCAGACTTCATGGAGCTGGAAAACAGATTCAGTCAATGATTACTGCTGTTGTGGTTCCTTGTCTTTTAGGATTCCATATTTGACCGTCATCTGTTGAAACCTAGTGGTACTTTTTAAAGTAGTATTTGTATTGGCAAAAACTAATGTTTTTTTTTCTTTTTTCCCTCCCTGTGATGTCACATCCTGGTTTCCACCGACTGTTAAATCTCATCTCTCAGCAACACATCAGCATTTCAGAGACTTACACGCCTGTTTTTCCAACAACAGTAATTATGTGGACCAAAATGACAATTATGCAGCTCAGTGGTGGAGTCTGCTGCCAGACCGGCCCATCAGGACGACGGGAGGAAACCAGTGTCTGTGGTCAACGTTACCAGCTCCAGCAGCAGTGAAGGACAGACAGACGGGTGAGGAAACACTTTTCTTTAGATAGAAATCAAAACTACTGCTAGTTAAATGTTTGATGTGTGACTTCATATAACAAACTTTTACAGCTCATTCATTTGAACAAACATCCTTTTGTCCTAATCAGAGATGTGTCAATCACCTGATGGATCGTTTCTTTTCCCTCGACGAACAGTTTCTCTGTCGTGTTCAGTGGGCTCTAGAAAAACAACCAAACACAAACACGTTCATTTCGTTTCCTCTTCCTTCTGTAGCTACAGCCTGTGTTTGTGCTCATTTGTAGTGAAGACAATCTTTTGATCTTGTTTTAATCAAAAGTGAAATCAAAGTCATCAGTTAACATTTCTCTGATTTAATTTAAGTTATTTTCTACTTCATATCACCAAGTCACACAAAAATATTTCTGCAGAAATGTGGCCTAATCTGTGCAAGTTGAAATAACACATACACACTTTATGCAGTAATAAGTAATAACTTACACTAGTTTCTACGTAGACACCGGTGTCATTTGTGACATATATTTTTGTTTAGAGACTGAACAGTAATACTTGATAACGGCACAGGCTGCACTGCATCACACTGTGAAACAAGAGCACATGAATAATGAACTGGATTTTTGTTTTCACAGTGGCTCAGGTGCCATTGGCCAATCCCAGTCACACTTGTGTTCCAGCAGGATGAGTTGGGACTTGTGAAATAGTTCAAAGACCCACAGTTTAATTGCCTCAATCAAACACATTTGAAATGCCACCCCATCCAAGTGCATGAATCATTGGATAAAAGCTCAAAAAAAAAGCAATAAAACGTCCCTGTAGCCGCCAAGAGAGAAGCAACGAAAGAAAACATAGAGACTGTAGGTGTGTGTGTGAGAGAGAGAGAGAGAGAGAGAGA